ACGGCTTCGGGGGCTCTGCTTGGGCGGGCAGTCACAAACCTGCCTCCCTCTGACGTGCCCTGTGTGGGGTCTGAGATGAACTGCAGCTTCTGATCTCCTTCAAGACTTTGTTTGGGATCCCTGAGCAAGGCCGGTGCATGAGCTCGTAGGGCTGAGCTGGGGTGGTTTGTGGGCAGGGCTGCCCCATACTCACTGTTGTTGGTTTAATTTTTCGGGAAACTTGGTCCTGAGTGTTGGGGTCTGGCCAGAGGCACAGCAGCGATTGTGGGGTGTGGGGAAGCCAGAAGCGCCATCAGGCTGCTGGTGCACCCGCCCCGTGGGGCCAGGTTGACCTGTCCACAGCACAGTGCCTGAGTAGCGACAGCAGCATGGCCCTGGCAGGGACCAGACCCCTGTCCGGGGCTGCTGCAGGACCAGCCTGGACACTCCGGTGGACAGCAGCCTCCAGTGCAATGGAGCCTGATGGGGCCACACGTCTGGGTCTTTGGAGAGACAGTTGGCCCTGAGGGAGCTTTTCCTCCAGCGGGCAGTGTGGCTACCCCCAGTGTTCAGTTACCTGCCATGGTGGGGACCTGAAGCACCTCCCAGCTCTGGGATCTCCACCCCACGCTCCGCAGTGGAGCTGAGCTGGACCCTCCAACTCTGCCCCTGCCCACAGCACCGAGAGCTGGGGGAAACCCCCGCTGGTGTTCCCCTGCTGCCGTCCTCAAGGCCCCACTCCCGCCAGCTCTCCTGTGGACGGCTGCCAGTCTCCTCTCAGAGCTCTCCCTGACCAGAACACCCAAGGGTGCCCACGCTCTCTCACAGAGGATCCGTGTCCCTGGGACCGCGGAGGGCACGGAGCTGCCCCAGGGCTCTTACCCTGTGCCTCTGCTGTCTCAACCAGAACAAGGTGCAATATTTTCTTGGTGGGGAAATAGAAATGTTTTTAGTTTTGAATATAGTTGGAATCTGTGCTAAAAACCAAACTGATTTTAATATATATATATTATTTTTTCTAAAAGACCTCAAATTCTCTCTTAGAAATGGTATTCTCGACTTTTGTGATCACTCCACGGCTGCTTCTCATTCACCTTGTCTTCTGTCTGTGAACCTCCAAATTATCACTCAATTATTTGAATTTTTGCTGGTGATTGGAAATATTGTGAATTGTGTAATAATGATTTTCGTTTCACAGGAAATTAAACACTTATAGATTAATTGCCTTCCCAAGTAGCAATTGTACACTTTTACCTAAATCACTCTCTTGATTGGATTATTTTGGCATAAGCCAGGAAAGAACTTTCCAGCTGTCTCGGATTTTTCACTTAGCATCCATTGAGTTAATAATGCTAATTAAAAGCAATCATTTTATCTTTTCATTACTTTTACTTTTTCATGCCACATTGTACCAAGGCAACTTTAGATGCTCATTAGGATGTAAATGGCATCTTTATTAGGAGCCAACAGTACTTTCCTGAATCGTTTTGGCTCCCTGTGCATCTATTCCTGATAAAAGGTCACATTTTCTTTTACGTGTTAACACATTCGTTATTTTTGGAAGTCTACGCAACCGTGTTTAATCTTGACAATCGTTCTAGAAGTGATTTGTCCAGTGTCAAGACCAGGCTTTGGTTTGAAGCATCTAGAGCCAAGCTACCATTGTCATCCTAAGAGCCAAGTTCACTGTGCTTGTAAGATGTTCAGATGGCGAAGCACATTGCAGGTGAAGTCTCCCTGCCTGTCCCACTCAGTGACCAGCACAGGAAAACAGAGCCCATCCCAGGTGAGGAAGGAGTAGCAGCTGCCAGGAGGGTCTTGGGCTGTGCAAGCAGACAAGCAGTCGGATTCCCTCTGGAGAGCAGTGATTGCTCCGTTTCCAAGTCTTGGAGCTCATGCCTCTCTCTCTTTCATGGTTCATTTCAATTTTCATAGCCTTGTGATCTGAGAAGAAGCTGGATAAAATGGCTTTTTGTGCTCAATACTATGAATATGCCGAATATGCCGTCCATGCCTTTTATACTAGGATGGTTTCCTGTGAGAGCTCTGTGGTTCCTCCATTGTTTCTCTTGTGTTTGAACTTTTGCTTCTCTCTGGAGGCTTTAGGTAGTCTGTCTTCTGTCATGGTAATTACAGTGTTTCCCTCTTTGTGATGTGAGAGGATATCTCATTGTTTTTTGGATTTGCATCTCCCTGGGGACAAATCTGCAGAACAGAGGAATAGAGATGAATATCCTGACAGACTCCCAAATACATGATCATTTAATCTTTGATAAAGGATCAAGAAATATGAAGTGGAGCCAGGAAAGCCTCTTCAACAAGTAGTTCTGGGAATCCTGGGAAGCTGCATGTAAAAAAAAAAAGAACTCAGACCTCTGTCTAATGCCAGGTGCAAAAGTCAGACCAAAATGGGCCAAAGACCTCAACATCAGACCTGAATCCAGGAGGACCATGGAGGAAAATGTAGGCAGAACCCTCCATGGCTTTGAAGCCCAAGGCATCTTCAAAGGTGAAACACCACTGACCCAGCAAGTGGAAGCAAAGATAAGCAAACGGGACTACACTGAGCTAAGAAGCTTCTGCACCTCAAAGGAAATAGTGACCAAGACACAAAGACAGCCCAGGGAATGAGAAAAATTATTTACTCAATATCCATCTGTTAGAGAAATAATATCAAAGATGTACAAGGCACTTGTAGAACTTCACATGAAAAGAACATCCAACGAGTAGGGGGCAGAAATGAACAGAAGCTTCTTCAAAGATGAAATTCAACTGGCCAAAAGGCACATGAAAGCCGCCATTTGGTTTTAGTCCCTATTTCCTTTGCCCTAGAGAAATGTTTAGTTTGGTTTGTTCCCATTTGTTCCGTGCTGATTCTGTAACCTTTGCCAATGGCACCATCTCACTGTAGACCTCTTTGAGGGCTAATCTTGGAGCACTCCGGCCATGTTTTCCTCAATGTACTTTGTAGATTCAGAGTCTGATAGGTATAAGTTTTCTTAAGCATTTATTTAAAACAGGCAAGTTGGATGGGTTGTGAAACAGATATTAAATCAAACATTGCCTAGGGTAACAATTTTTTCAATGATATTGCATAAATGAGAATATTTAGTACAGATCAGATCACAGATCATCCTGTTATTCGTCGATTGCCTCGAGCAGGCCCCAGTAACGTCTCCTTCATCCTAGCCCTGAGATTATATTCAAGGCTCTTTAGGAGAATGAGATCCATCATTGTTACTGGTATTTGGCATATTGGGAACGCCACGGGGAGTTTGCCAGACTCTGCCCTGTGGGCAGGCTACATTCGGTAGCCTGCCAGTTTGTCAAAGTAGGAGTGAGATGTCATAATAAGATGTCGCACGGCCACGTGATTCTGGGAGCTGGTTTTTATAGTTTCAGAGTCTTGGCCGCTGATGGGATTACACGGCGCCAGGGGGCCAGGTGGTGGGTGTGACCCCCGCCTACTGGAAGTTGGAGGATCTGGGTGGAGGATGCTTGACTCCAATCCGAGTAGGCTTGGAGATATCGGCCCCGGAACCCACGTGGCTTTGTCCCTCTGCTGGTACCTTCAGGTGTGCGGAGAGTGGTCTCAGCATGGTGGTGGCTGGTCCTGGAGGTCTTTGGCTGCCGGAGCCCTGGCCAGGGCGGGGAGGAAAGCTCAACCCGCTCCCCTCCAAGGGCCCTGGCGAGGAATAGCCAGGCGCGGGGGCAGGAGACTGCGCTCATTTAGTACAATTCCTGAAATGTAATAGGAGTCACCTAATTTACGTTTTTCTTGGGTTCATTTCATTCCCAAAGCGAAGAAAATATTAAGCCATGTCAATATGTCACTATATTACTGAAACTTTGTCTTACTACTCAAAAGGTAAAAAATTAGGTTCTTCAAATCTTAACCTTTTAAAATGTTTATTAAATAATAATGCACAATGTACACCCTAACTTCTTGGCATGAAGTCAGTTCTTATAATTGTCTCCAATTTAAGGTTCAGAAAATAAAATATGAACATTTATGAATGTTTTCAAAGTCCTTTAGAAACTGTTAGTAATTTATTTCTTTATCTGTGATGCTGGGCAGAGCATCACGTAGGCATCTGTTGTAACGGGACACTTGGGCCTCGCCTTGCTAACACCCCTCAACCCTACCCCCAGACACACACATATTTTTTCTCTGTTGCTGTGGATCAAGCGCCGAGTCTCTCGTGAAAAGGCAAGGGGTGTAGCACTGAGTTACCTGCCAGCATAGAAACCTGATGTTGGCCGGGAGGGTGGCATTTAGAGCTCATGTTTACTGTCAAGTCTTCCAACGAAGGTGCAGAATCCCCATTTTTGTTGTAGTCTTACATTTGAATGTAAGACTTGATGGGAGAAAATGAATCGTTTGAAATATATTCAGTGATAAGTCAGTGCTCATCATAATATCAATTTATTTTTATTGTAACTACATCTAATGGTGTCTTTAAAAGACACAGCATATATCTAAAGAGATCCCTAAGTTAAAGACACTGGCTGAAAGGCAGTGTTAGGGTTCAAACAATGAGAATTTAACTGCCAGTTTCATGATTTATTTACTATGTACAGATCTTCATTTTTAAACTCCATGTTTTTGTTTTCTCATTCCATCTAACAGCTCATTTATCGAATAAAAATAAGTTATTCAAATGTTATGTGTAAAGAGTATTCTTGGACAAAGATTCGGTTCAAGGGGTATAGCACATACCTTGCCTGTGTGAAGCCTTGAGTTTCATCCCTGCATCACTTCCCTCTCACCCCCCGCCCCCGAGAGACTCTGTGAGGCGACCCTCACATAAAATAAAAAGTATCGGGAAAGTTTTCTATGCCAGTGTATGCATATGCTCTGTACAGAGTAGAATTGTCAGGGTCTGGAACATGAGAACATTTGTTTCCTGTTACATATCTTATGAATGTTTACTGCTTTATCTCAATTAATGTATTCACTGCACAAAATACTGAGATTGGGTTTTCCAGATACTTAGACACTCCCTCTCCCTTTTTCTCAGGAGACTTCCTTGAGACCATGCTTTTGCGAAGTTCAGGAAAGCTAAATGTGGGCACCAGGAACGGGGCAGCTGAGAGCCTCACCCCCACCCCGCGTCCGAAGACCTTGCGCTGCAAATGCCATCACCACTGCCCAGAAGACTCGGTTAACAATATCTGCAGGTTGGTCTGATGCATTATTGAAACATGGTTGGGCAGAAGCTTTACTTCTTCAATCAGAGACTCAGAGGGTGGTGTTTCCAAGAGCACAGTTTGGGTGATAGGACCTAACTCTACAGCGTGTCAGAGTCTATGATTGTGTAAAGTAGAGAAATATTGACTCACATTGTAACTACAATGCAAAATGGTCTCCTGACCTCCTCCCTAACTTCAGGTGTCCACGGTTTCAGGCATCTCCTCATGGAGTACAAATCATTTATTTTCTTCAAAAAATTGGGTCCCCAAATAAATTCTACGGTAGGGGTCATCAAAGGTGTTTGCTAGTTTTAGCCATCTGTCACATTTTGGTATTAGGATTGAGGAGAGAACATCTAAGTTGAGGAATATTCACAAATGGAAAATAAGAAGCAAAGTGACAATGCTTATCTGATTCCGCTGTCATTAAAGATATTTTCCAAGTCCTAGAGAATGAACTCAGTAGACCACGGTGCTTGTACACTCACTTTATTGTTTCATTGACAACTTCCTAACTGAATTTCTGTCTCTTCCTTCCTTGGGCATCTCTATGCTGTCATCTGTATTTGTTCCCCAGTGGAAGGGTGAGGGCAGTAGTGGACAGCAGTAGACCCAGTCCAGTGGGTCAGAGTGTGTCCAGGGAGAGGAGGATGATCAGACAAACATGTATCACAGAAGTTGAAATGTCACAGAAATCTTTCATGTTAATTTTGTAATGATAATAGTAATAAAATAGAGAAGCACCAAGAAGGGTAATGCATTTAAAATGGGAGCTGGGATTTAAAGTCCAGGCAGAATATCTGGGCAACCATTTGCACATGTTCAAGGAAGGAACAGGAAGTTGAAATGAATATTTTGGGTTTTTTCTCTGAAATTTTTTTTTCCAGAAACTTTTCTCCTGGAAACTTTAAAAGTTTTTCTGAAACTTCCTATGAGGTGAAATATAAGATCTATCCCTTTATAAGCAGCTCATGAAATACATAGTAGGTGAATAACACAGAGAAAAGTTAGGTGTATTCCCAAATGAACTTATAGTTTAATCAACAGAACAACCCTTAGCACGATAGGGAAATTTTATCATCATAAGATATATGGATTTTCTACCCAAAAAAGTCCGGTATCTTGACTCTTGTACATGGAACAAAGTTGGGATCACTGAGTATTGTGCCAAGGTAGAAGTACTCTAAAGGTCAGCCAGTATTTCATGGAAAAATTACCTATTATAGAAACAGAAATAGTATGAGGAAATGTTAGCAGAAAGAAGCAAATTAGGGGACCGAATTTATATATATATTTATAGATACCTATAAATATATTTACAAATAAATATATATAATTTTAAATTTTAATATATATAAGTTTAAATTTATATATAAATTTGTATATATATATTTACATGTAGTTTATAGAGGCTATTGCCTTGCACATGGCCAACCAGTTTTGACACATGACCTATGGTCCCCTGAGATCTGCCAGGAGTGATCAATCCCTGATGAGCACAGAGCTTGGAGTAAATCTTAAGCACCACCAGGTGTGGCCCCCAAACCAAACCAAAACCAAACAAAAAAGAAGCGAATTAGATAACTGTTTTATTATTTTGACTCTGCCTGTACTAAATGAGTGAGTCATTTGCATTTGTAGGCTAGTGGTTTTATATTCAGTCTTCTCCATCATTCAGATTCAAGCAATGGAACCTCTTCTCCTGGGCTTTTGAAAGGACTGAGGTACAAGCACTCAGAGGTTGTTTTAGCAGGAGAGATGGTGGGGATTGATGATTTGCTTTTTCTTTGAAGAGTTTTCTTGGCTTTAGTTTGCTGACTGTGTCAGATTGACAGAAGTTAATGCAGGAAGAGCTAACAGATGTGCGGGGATGAAGAGTAAGTTTGGGACGAGCTGAAGCGTGTTTTTGGCAAGAACATATGGGGAGAAAGCGACCTTGGCTTGGACTGTCCCAGGGCAGGGAGGAGTCGGCTGCAACATAGCAATCATTAGAAGCAACGTATTATCGATGAATTCAACACGGGAGGGGACTGGAAGGACACCGTAGGTTTGGGGATATCGTGGATTTAGGAGGACAGAGGGACAGGAATAGCAAACTGAAGATTTCGGCATAGTCAGTGTGAGAAGCCAGAGAGAAGACAGTAGAATACACTTTGGGGCTCAGAGTAGAGAAGGGGAGAGCCTGACTGTCGGGGGGCATGCCTGCCTGCTGTGCTGTTTGGGGGGCTTCTCTGGAGCAGCTTTCAGTGGCCCCGGGGGCCACTCCCAGTGGATTCAGCCCAAACTGTGTGTTTCTGAGGATTCAGGGCCTGGCCTGGCCGCAAGGTACTGCTTGACCCAGCCATGCTGTAAGGCCACTGAGACCATGTCTAGTGGTCCTTGGGGGTCCACAAAGTGTCAGACGCAGAGCTCAGGCAGGTCCCCCAGTCCTGGAGCTGTGCCCATGCTGTGAAAGAGGCCATCTTCAAACCAGAGAACCCAATCACAAGGACGTTCCATCTGAGGTGACTATTCCTGTGTCTAAGGGGTGGGGGCAGGGGATGACAGTTGCATGGGACCCTGTTGCTTTGTGGGGGCTCACACGTCTCCTCTCTCTCCTGGGGGAGGATGGACGTGGGGGCCACGTCTCTTGCTTAGTGTAAGGGAGGATGTCTTCAAGACTGTGTCTCGCCATGTCCTCTAACCACTGCTTACCCAGTCGGTGGCAGACCAAGCTGGGAGCCGCGGGGGCCTTGGCTAGGTGGCATTGAGAGCTGGAGACAATAACAGATCAATCTAGTCAGCTGGAGCCGCCCAGGGCCTCAGACACGGAATGGTGAGAGACAAGGGCCACTCATTGGGAGACTCAGGAGGAGAGAAGCTGTGAGCATGGCTGCCGTGTGAAGCAGAGGCTCCCAGGAGCAAGGGTGCAGGTGGGCATCGGAGTTGGTGGGGAAGAATCTGCAGCACAGCCCTCAGGTGCGTTGGTGACCGGAACTTAGGGAAACTCAATGTCCATGTTGAAATGGATTGACTGGGACCGGGATTCGTGTTGGAAATTTGAAAACAGAGGGAAGGAAAAGCACAGAGACACTTCAGTGCAGTAACCATGGAAACCTGCAGTGGGGCAGGGGTGCCCTGACCTTAGACCGAGTCAGCCGCCCACTACCGATGGGACATTTTAGAAACCCTGCACGTGTATCCTTACCTGTCCTTAACTCTGTAGTGGCTCTCCAAAGAGTGTATCACTCCCTATTTCCAGGGAAGAGCTACCAAACTATCTGACAGGTTAAGTCATTTTCTATCCACACCTGGATGACGAGAAGGTTTGTGGCCATGATTCCCAGAGCTTGTTTAACGCTGGCTCTCAGGAATCTTTCGATTCTTGCATTCAATCTTGAATAAGAAGCGCATACACTTGGCTAATGAGGTATTGGCTCCAGTTTAGTTGCACATGAGTGGGGATCAATCACTGTGAGTCACGGCTCACATCTTCTGCCCTCGGACTTAGAACGGACCAGGCCTCCACCTCCAGGCCTGGAGGCTCAGAGTCTCCATCACACAAAATCACAAATCATCCTGTTATTCATCGATTGCCTTGAGCAGGCCCCAGTAACGTCTCCTTCATCCTAGCCCTGAGATTATATTCAAGGCTCTTTAGGAGAATGAGACCCATCATTGTTACTGGTATTTGGCATATTGGGTACGCCACGGGGAGTTTGCCAGACTCTGCCGTGTGGGCAGGCTACATTTGGTAGCCTGCCAGCTTGTCCAAAGTAGGAATAAGATAATGAGATGTCATAATAAGATTTGCAGCATTTGCAGCCGCGTGGTTCCAGGAGCTGGTTTTTATAGTCTCTGAGTCTTGGCCGCTATGGGATTACACGGCGCCAGGGGGCCAGGTGGTGGTGTGATCCCCGCCTACTGGAATTTGGGGGATCTGGGTGGAGGATGCTCAGCCCCAATCCGAGCAGGCTTGGAGATCTCGGCCCCGGAACCTGCGTGGCTTTGTCCCTCTGCTAGTACCTTCATGTGTGCGGAGAGTGGTCTCAGCATGGTGGTGGCTTGTCCTGGAGGTCTTCGGCTGCCGGAGCCCTGGTCGGGGCGGGGAGGAAAGCTCAACCCGCTCCCCTCCAAGGGACCCCGGCGAGGAACAGCCAGGCGCAGGGGCAGGAGACTGCACTGGTCTCGTCCGGGGGCTGGATTTTATAGTCTCTGAGTCTTGGCCGCTGTTGGGATTACACGGCGCCAGGGGGCCAGTTGGTGGGTGTGACCCCCGCCTACTGGAATTTGGAGGATCTGGGTGGAGGATGCTCGGCCTCTATCCGAGTAGGCTTGGAGATCTTGGCCCCAGAACCCGCGTGACTTTGTCTTATGCCCCCGCGCCTGGCTGTCCTCGCCGGGCCCTTTGGAGGGGAGTGGGTTGAGCTTTCCTCCCCGCCCTAACCAGGGCTCCGGCAGCCGAAGACCTCCAGGACCAGCCACCACCATGCTGAGACCACTCTCCGCACACATGAAGAGTCTCCATCATTCAATCCTAATTAGTAACCTGGAGCTATTTCTGGTCACACATTTTCCTCCCCTCCTATAAATTCAGTTCTGATGCCTTTTGAAAGCATAGTGGAAATGAATTATTCTAAAAATAAAGATTTTTTAAAGTACAAATTTCACGCATTTTCCTAAGTTCTCTCATTGAGATGCAATGGGGTGTGGATGTGTCCTTTTACGCATTTTCTGTATTAATCTCCTCACAGACCATTAACAAGCAGTTTGCTAACCTGCAAGAAAAAGCTCTCTGAGTAATCCTGCATGAAATCTTTCAGCCCTGGGCAAAACACTTCTGAAAGTAGAGAGTATGTGCTTTCAGTTTAGTTAAGGGTCTGGAGACTGTCCAGCTGGGGTCCCACCCCACCTCGAACTTCAGCATTTTCTCGTTGATTGCCAATGCTATTTCACTGAAAAGATTCATACAAAAGACGGACTAATCAATGTAAGTGATTCTGAGGTACCACAGAGCAATTCAGATAATCTGTGCAAAGTTCGCTGGGTTTTAAGTCTCTTTGTTAAGTATTGTCAATAACTCTATTCACCAAACTCTAGACCAAAGTCATTCTTGGCCTTGATTCCCATGTAGGATGGGTGTGAAGTCTCTGTTTCCCAATTCCAGCCATCTCTGTCGCATACCAGCAGACCCAGGATGAGGTGGAAACCGTGTTATCCTATCACAGCCTGTCCTACATTCACGGTCAGGATCTCAGGATGGAACCATTGTCTTTTTCTTACCTCCCTCCAGGCAGTGTCTGATTCTACACAGATACACATTTAAAATAGCTTTCATCTCCGTGTTGTGATCGAAATTACAGCGTATGATCTACTTAATATTTTTTCCAGGTTCTCTCCTCCACATCCTGCTGATTTATTTTAATAATCCTTAGGTTTGGGCTGGAGCAATAGCACAGCGGTAGGGCGTTTGCCTTGTGCACAGCCAGCCTGGCCAAGCCGGGTTCGATTCCTCCTTCCCTCTCAGAGAGCCCGGCAAGCTACCGAGAGTATCTCGCCCACACAGCAGAGCCTGGTAAGCTACTCGTGACGTACACAATATGCCAAACACAGTAACAACAAGTCTCGTGATGGAGATGTTACTGGGCCCGCTCAAGCAGATCAATGAACAACGGGAGGACTGTGACCGTGACTGTGAATCCTTAGATTTGGGCCCAGCTGGTTGTGCCCAGGGCTTCCTGGTGCCTCCGTGCTCAGGGATCTCTCTGGCACTGCCTGAAGGGCCTTATGTGGTCCTGCAAATGGAGTGGGGTCAGCAGGGCACCAGGCAAGTGCCATGAACTCTGTGCTGGTGTTATGGCCCCTTTGAGTGTTTCACTTCTCCCTCTTTATAAACAAGTTATAATGATGGAGAAATGTCTTTTTAATATAGCAACTTTTCTAGCCTATATGAATTCCTCACGTCAGAAATATAATTCTTCGTGTAAAATAATTATCACTGTCACTGTCCTCCCATTGTTCATCGATTTGCTCGAGCAGGCCCAGTAATGTCTCCATTTTGAGACTTGTTATTACTGTTTTTGACATATCAGATACGCCACCGGTAGCTTGCCAGGCTTTGCCGTGCGGGCAAGATACTCTCGGTAGCTTGCTGGGCTCTCTGAGCGGGGCAGAGGAATTTAACCCGGGTAGGTTGAGTCGAGTCGGCCGCATGCAAGGCAAACACCCTGCTGCTGTGCTATGTAAAATAATTAAGGTGACTATTTCTGACAAATCCCGATTTTTTTTTAGTAAGAACTATAAACTACTTATTTTGCATGGTTTAAATCATAGGATAGGGATAAAAATACCTACATGGAAACTGTTTGCTTAAATTATTTGAGTTGATAAGGGACAGCTCCTTTATTTATTACCTTTAGTGTTTACATGCTTTAGGTTTTCATAGCAGTTTCAGTAAATGACCTAAAAAGCCCCAAAGAATTTGGAGCACGAGGCCCTCAGAGCTATTCTTTCTCCACCACAACGTTTATGCATGTGACCTTGGTTTTACCAAGAGATTTATTGTTGACCCTCAGTAGCATCCATTAGCGTGTTGAACTTTGCGTGCCGGTTCTTATAAACGGAGGTCTTTGGGATCACTTGAGGCTTATCAACCAAGTCGACAATTCTAAGGGTGCCGAAGATAACCGAAGGTTAATGCAGAGAAGAACGCCACTATCACTAAACAGACAGACAAACCCACAAATCATCCTAATTCCATGCTGTGATTTTGCCTCCCGCCCCCTGTGGTCTGCACTTCCTGGAAGGAGATGGAGAAATAGTTCAGGACTTACTGCTTAGCACAAGCCAGTGTGGTTTTATCACTACACGGAGAGTCTGCTGACATTCATCTTGGCGACTTACAGAGACAGGACTGCCTCTTTGGAGGTGCCAAGGGGAATATGTAAAACGGGTCCACATGAACTGAGCTCCCTGATTGCCGTCATTGTTTCTTTATGCGTTTGTTTGGATAGTTTTTATTGCCAGACACTTCAAGTTCCTCATCTGTAAACAGAAATGGTGTTCACTGTGAGAGGACTGAATGCAGAGAACAAGTGCAAATCATTGTGGGTCGCACTCAGCACTCAGCAGTGCCCAGAACTAACTCCTTGCTCAGTTGTGGGGTCAGTGGGGTGATTGATGCTGGGAGGGCTGGAAGTGGTGGCTGAGATCACACCCAGGTCAGCTGCAGGCAAGGCAGACGTCTGACTGCGGTGCTAGTCGTCCTGCACCAGGAAAGTGCTTTCTACTCCAGAAAACCACCTGTACATCCGAACTGTGTGTCTTCATTTCCTGGTTGTATTAAAAGGCCTTGCTGATACCCGTATTACCCACTCTGGCTCAATCCCAGACACTTCCATAGCGCTCAGTGCTCTCAGAGAGGGACCCGCCAAAGGCACCAGTGACAGATCTGGAGTCATCTCATGCTGTGTTGAGCCCAATTTCTTTATTTTAAAGCACTGTAGCACTGTCCTCCCGTTGTTCATCGATTTGTTTGAATGGGCCCAGAAACGTCTCCATTGTGAGACTTGTTACTGTGTTTGGCATATTGAATACGATATGGGTAGCTTGCCAGGCTTTGCTGTGCAGGTGAGATACTCTTGGTAGCTTGCTGGGCTCTCCGAGAGAGGCTGAGGAATCAAACCCGGCTCTGGTGGGCCGGCTGCGGGTAAGGCAAACACCCTACCGCTGTGCTATCGCTCCAGTCCTTTATTTTAAAAGAGATTTTTAACTAAGATTCTGTTGTTTACGATGCTATTGGTAATGGTTTCTCACTTTCACTGTCCTCCCATTGTTCATCGATTTGCTCGAGCAGGCCCAGTAACGTCTCCATTGGAGACTTTGTTGTTACTGTGTTTGGCATATCGAATACATCATGGGGAGCTTGCCAGGCTCTGCCATGCAGGCGAGATACTCCCGGTAGCTTGCCGGGCTCTCCGAGAGGGGTGAAGGAATCGAACTCGGGTCGGTCATGTTGGCTGCGTGCAAGGCAAATGCCCTACCGCTGTGCTATCGCTCCAACCCAATGGTTTCTCATGCACATAATTCCAATACCGTACCCCCTTTGCCGAGGGTATCCTGTCCACCCCCAGGACCCTAACACCCTACCTCTACCCTCTCCCCCAACTCGGGGGGGGTGGCTTAGTTCTCCCATGTTTGCTCTGACTCTCTCTTGCTGTGTATCATTAAGTCCCATAAATAAGAGATGAGTTGATTCCAATTTCTACCGTTCTGAATTCTTTGTTTTAGAAAAATATGAATTAATTTTGGTATCCCAGAGCAAGTAGAACCAAAAAGAACTTTTGCCTGCATGGTTCAAACCGCTGCTGGTTCTTCTCATTTTCGGCGTCTAGGCTTAGAGAGATCATGAGCGGTACTGAAGCTGTAGTATCCTCAAGTAGAAGATAGAGGATTGACAGTATTTTCTTCACAGAACAGTTTTTTTCCAGATTGATGAAGGTGAAGACTGTGAAATAACAAAGTAGGTGTTTAGTAACTGGTGTATGTGATTGTTAGAGGTACCTGTAATACTAAAATTTTGATTCCTCTTTTTCACATGTTCAAAAACAAAGAAGAGATTGCCAATGGTTTTGTGGTCATTAAACCTACTTTCATAAAAGTTTGGGGATTTTCTGTTTTGTTTTCTGTGGAGGGCACACCTGGCAATGTTCTGGGGTCTCCCCTGGTGGGGTTTGGAGACCACATGGGGTGCAAGGGATGGAACCCAGGGCATTGCATACAAGGCAGCATCCTATGCACTGTTCAATCCCACACCCCCGGGGGTTGTGCGAATGATGGTACCTGTTCTGACGTGGATACTTTCTGTGGTTTTTAGCACAGATGGATATTGTTTCACGATGATTGAAGAAGATGATTCCGGCATGCCAGTCATCACTTCTGGATGCCTTGGACTAGAAGGCTCCGATTTTCAGTGTAGGGTAAGGCACAAAACTGGACTCTACTCTGGAACCTCTCAATGGCTAGATTTCAGACATATTTCAAGCATGATGAACCTTTATTGTTTTTTATTTGAATAGCCTGTTCAAGTAACATAGAGAGCCATTATAAAATCCTGTCGATATTCCATTGGAAATAAAAAAATAAAATGGTCATTATTCCATTGGAAATAAAATATGATCTCTGATTTGTATATTCACTTCTCATTCTGTGACCCATTATATTATCTCGCTGAAATCCCAGTTAAGTTTTTGCATAAAGTCAAATCTTCTCATTTCATTTACACAATGTATGCTAGTTATTGTGAAAGAGTGATTTTTTATGAAAGACAATGTATGATAGATAGTGCATGATGAATGTGGAGAAATTAAATAAGAGGGAAAAATGTACTTATTTCAGATGTTTGAGTAAAAGACTGAATTAACTTTTGTTATGACTGTTTGATCCTTGTGAGGCCACACACAGCTGTGCCCAGGACCACCCTGCTTCTGGGCCAGAAGAGGCCCCTGGCCGCCAGGTCACCCCCTGAGCTGGGACTAAGTCCAGAAGTGCAGGGGCTGGTGCAGGTTTTGACTTTTATCACGCCTGTGCTCCAGCACGTGAACCACATCCGGACCCCAGGTCTCGGGAATTTTAATGAGCTCCCTTTCAGGAGGATGGATTTCTGCTGAAGCTTTAAGTGGTATGGACTTTGAAGAGAGTGGGGTCCACTGACAGCTGTTGGGGTTGCCTTGTAGGACACGCCTGTTCCTCACCAAAGAAGGTCCATTGAGTGCTGCACCGAGAGGAATGAGTGTAACAAGGACCTGCACCCCACCCTGCCCCCGCTGAAGAACAGAGGTGAGAAGGGGCCAAGGAGCGCCAGCCCATCGGGAATAACACCCCAGCTCTCTCTGAGCCCGGAGCAAGCTCTCGGCCCTCTCCCCCTGCAGGGACTCAGAGCTAGGACGAGACGCAGAATGAAGCGGTGGGCTAAAGACAGGTGAAGGTAGTTCTCAGGAAAATAGTATCTGTAGCTCCTCTCCTGCATGGTCTTCAGCCTCTGTCCTCAGCCCTGTAGGGGAGAGAGATTCTAGAGTTCGGATCATGCTTCTGGTGGGGAGAGGAGATTCGGGCTTGCTTCTTGCTGTAGAGTTCAGAAAAGCTGCAGTCAGACATACTATTTCTCTGCACCCATTTTTTATGATAGGCACCTTCTAAAGGACCGAGTCAGGTTATTGAGTATGTGGCCACGGTCACGGTCACGGTCCTCCCATTGTTCATAGATTTGCTCGAGTGGGCCCAGTAACGTCTCCATTGTGACACTTGGCTACTGTGTTTGGCATATCGAATACATCAAGGGTAGCTTGCCAGGCTCTGCCGTGCGGGCGAGATACTCTCAGTAGCTTGCCGGGCTCTCCGAGAGGGGCGGAGGAATTGAACTCAGGTTGGCCATGTTGGCTGCGTGCAAGGCAAATGCCCTACCCGCTATGCTATTGCTCCAGCCCTGAGTGTGTGGCCTTTCATTTAATTCCTGCAAAAGTAACCGCTGTGTTTCTTCTAATAATTCATATGGCCAAAATGGAGAAAATCTAAAGAAAATTAAATTTCACAATGGATATGTTTTTGATGCTTATTAAAACAAGACCAGGGCTGGAGCCATAGCACAGCGGGTAGGGAATTTGCCTGGCATACGGCCCATCCAGGTTCAGTTCCCAGCACCCCTTGTGGCCCCTCGAGCACTGCCAGGAGTAACTCCTGAGTGCATGAGCCAGGAGTAAACCCATGCAACTCTGGGTGTGACCCAAAAAACTTAAAAAAAAAAAAGACCAAGGACTGCATCTTATAGGCTTTGTGAAAAGCAGAATCTATGCTCCATCTAAGTAAATCTGTGATTTGTCTGAGTTCCAAGTATTACTTACGTCATGATTGGATTTACATTTGAAGAAGAGAAAACCTATGCAACAGAATATGGCTGTTCATGGTCTCCATATGAACACTTGTTCTAGCTGTAATTTAGAATTCTCTCCACGATTTCCTTGTAAATTTCGTCAATTCCATATAGTGGCTTAAAGTCCACATGCTGATGAGGGAGATAGAGTAGCTGTGCTCTGGGATGCTCAAGGAATCCTGGGGTCTTTGTATCCTCAAGAATGAAATTCTGACATTGATTACTTCAGACTCAAGATGTATTACAGATAAGAGAATGCTATTGAGAAGAAAGAGAAGAGAAAGTCCCGTGCAGAAGAGATATCAGAAATTGGAAGCCTTGCATGGCCACTGTCAGGGATATAGAAATTGGGTGACAGCAGGGTCTGGGGTTCTGTGAAATAAGGTGATGGATCCTTCTATGGTGAAGTCAATAGGGCAGGCCCCACGTTATTGAAACTCCTTGTCTATTTTTAGGGATTTTTCCCAGGTGAAGACACCTGAGCTCGGTCTTGGGGAAAACTACTCACGAACTGTTAGTTTACATTCCAGCTCTGGCAAGAGTTTTCTTGCTAGTTTTTGTAGGAACCTCAAAAATCATGGCAAAGCAGTATTTCCTTTCAATGCTAGGTGTTACACATCCAGAAACAGATGAGGAAAAATGCTTTTCTTGTTGTTTTTATCTGGGGGCCACATCCAGCTATACTCAGGGCTCACCTTTGACTTTATGCTAAGAGATCACTCCTGGTGGGCTCAGGCGACCAGATGGGCTGTTGGATCGAACCCACGTTGTCCGAGTGCAAGACAGGAGCCCTACTGACTGTAGTATTGTTCCACTTCTGAAGACATTCTTGCTTCCAAGATTTGCACACTCGAAGGGAAGAGAGACATGTGTAAACATGTCAGCAATGTCAGGAATATTCCAATAGCAGAATTAAACTCAAGAATACTAAAGAAACCAAGTAGTGAATAGTTGGTTCTAAGTTGGAAGGATGTCAAAATAGCTTCAGGGAAGTGGTAGTTGAACAGGACTTTAAGGTTGAAAAGGAGAGTGCTAAGTGTGTTAGCAAGGGAAATTGCCACTGTAAGCCAAACATTATGCTAAGCATTGCATGTATTAAACCATTTGCTCCTCACAATACCCATTTGAGCTACTTAGGCATATCATTTCCACTTAAAAAATGGTAGCACAGATGGATTAGCTCTCTTCCTAAAGACTGTGATTAGCAGTCACCGTCGGGAGGCACAGTACCAGGTCCTCCGGAGACGCCTTTCTAGGATACAGCCGTGCCCCAGCCTGGGTGGTGGGGGAGACCTAATTCAGTTGTCTGATGCCTTGTTTCAACTGCATCCCGGAGAAGCAGTGTCAGCACCTCGCGGTCTATTAGAAATGCCGAATCTCATGTTCCCTCTGAGAGTAAGTTTAGACTAAATTTATCTTTAGATTAATTATTCTTCTTTTAAGCAATATTCCCTCTGTAGCTTATATACACATTAAAGTTTAGGCAACATCTTTCCAAGGAAATAAAGGAGCCCACAGAGCACAATCACCCCCAATAGCTCCCAACAGCTCCCAACAGCTCCCGTGGCTTGTAAATCTGCTTGTTGCCACGTGGCTTCCACACGGTCTGAAAGGATCATTGCTCTGGTGATGAGTGGCTATAAAAGTTCTGAATGTTTACTTTCAGGTGGAGATGGTTCTTTGTGAACCAGCTATGAGAGGAAGGTAGTCTATAATGTTTTGAAGGCACTCTACGATATTTTGAATAAGAGCCAGTAGAACAGCTTATTATCTGGGGCCAGGGAAGGTAGGAGAGAAAACAGTTTTGAAAGATCCGCTTATGGGACAAATCACAAAGAGCGTTCAGGAGCTTCCCTCATCTCTGCATTCCATGCGAGGTTATTGAAAGCAGAACGCTGAGGAATAAAGGCACGGGCACAAGCGACCCCCGTGGAGAGACTCCAACAGACACGGGGCGAGTTTAGTCAGCAATGACACATGCGATCTTTAATCCAGGAGGTCAAGTGCAGGTCGTTCCTGGCAAAACCTACGCCTTTTCACTGGCTCTAGGCCCCTGTCCTTCTGTGTCCTTCTGGGGTCACTCGAACCCTTCGTGAACATCAATGGAGTACAGGTCTGGGAGATCCCTAGATGGAAACGATTACTCTTGCTTTGAGCCACTGACTTTTTAAAAAAATTTTTTATAAGTGAAACACCATGAGGTACAGTTGTAGACTTACAAATTTTTGTGCTTGGGTTTCAATTATACAATGATCAAACACTCATCCCTCCACCAGTGCCCATTTTCCATCACCATGGATCCCAGTATCCCTCCCACCTCCATCCCCCCATCCCACACTGCCTCTGTGGCAGGGCATTCCCTTCTGTTCTCTTTCTCCTTTTGGGTGTTGTGGTTTGCCAAAGAGGCGTTGAGTGGCTATCATGTTCTGTCTATAGTCTACTCTCATCACACCTTTCCCATCCTGAGTGGAATCTCCAAACACCCTTTATTTGGTGCTCCCTTCTCTATCTGAGCTGCCCTTTCCTCTAGAATGCCCGACTGGCCACTAAGCTATGTAGTAATCCTCCTGGTGCTGATCTCAGCTATCCTTGGGTATTAATCTCATATTTTTACTTTATATCCCCCAAATGAATGCAATCTTTCTATGTCTATCCCTCTCTTTCTGACTCATTTGGCTTAGCATGATACTTTCCATGTTGTTCCACTTGTATGTAAATTTCATGACTTCATCTTTTCTAACAGCTACATAGTACTCCATTGTGTAGATGTACCAAAGTTTCTTTAACCAGTCATCTGTTCGTGGGCATTCAGGTTTCTTCCAGTTTCTGGCTATTGTAAAGAGTGCTGCAATGAACAAACAAGTGCAGACATCACTTCGACTATACTTTTTTTGTCTCTCTGGGATATATTCCCAGGAGTGGTATTGCTGGGTCAAATGGGAGCTCAATTTCTAGTTTTTTGAGAATCTTCCACACTGTTTTCCAAAAGGGCTGAACCAGTCGAGCCACTGACTTTATTCTAGATAAGGGAGTTGGTGCCGTCAACTTCATTATCTGCTTGGAGATGACAAGTAGTGACAGAACTACTTTAAAACATTTAAATTTTTCTTTAAAGAACCGTGATTTACTAAGCAATTCATAGTTGACTTTTCTATGTACAACATTGCAGCACCGATCTGACCACCAGTGCCAACTTGCTGCCACCAAAGTGCCCGGGTTCCCTCCCATGCCCACTCCGTCCAACCTGCCTCTTCTCAGGCACCTTGCTCATTTCTGTTGTTTGAGTGTCTTGAGTTCTGTGCTGTTGACTCTGTGGTTTGGGCATTTGGCTCTATCAGTCCTCAGCGCCACCTTTGTACCTGACTCCCTTGACCTGGCCCCCACTGCTTCTCAGCTGTCTCTTCTCTCCCTCCTTCACCTTTTCTTTCCGTCTCCTCCCTATACTCTGGGGCCAAGGTAGATCTGAGCATCCCCCCTTTAAGATACTGTATTCCCTCATCCAGTTATTCTAAATACCACACCTAAGCAACATCATCCCATGTTTGTCCTTTTCTTCTGGCCTGCTTCCTGTCACATGGTGCATCCCCATTCCATCCATGTTGCTGTGAATTGCATGATTTTATCATTCATCGTGGCAACACAGAACATTGTTTTGATTGTGGTTATTGGCAGCCTGTCCCCTGAGAGATTCTTGGGATTCTCTCCTGGAATTCCCTTATTCAAGTCCTGGTGTGGAGGAATGGAGCCAGAGCAGACATCCTGACTCGAGTCCGCAGCCTTGTTGGAATGTACTTGAATGTCCATTATTCCTGCTCTGAGCACAGGTATTTGCAGATTAAAATATGAACCCCCCTGCCCCCCAAGGATCAACAGAAACAAATGGTGTGTTGATAAGGATCACCTATTCATGGCCACTCAAGGAGCTAGTAATGAAACTGCCCGAACAGGGAATAAAGGAAAAATGGGAAGGAAATGTCAGCCTTAGAGAAAGGGCCTATGGGTGGGGACAATTTCTTAGATCGTCTTTGTTCCATGACTGTCGTGAATCAGTCATCTAACACAATGAGAAATAAATGCAGCTTTCTTACAGCTCAGAGTGTGTTTTTGATGGATATTGAAAAATGAAAGGCAGCAGGCTGAGAGTTTCGTTAAAATAACGACACTCTTGAGTGGAGTGTGCTGTGGTCACTTACGACCCATTCTGTTCCTGTGTACTCGGTTTTGTTTTCAGTGAGATCCAATTTTCTCTTTCATTCTTGCAGCCAGAGATTTTTGCTTTTGTTAGCCATCAGACTGGAGAAAAATCAAACTGTTTCCAGCAACAATATCTGCCCTGGTGTTTGTGCACCTGTGTGGGCAGAAATACGGTGCATTTTGCTCTTGCTGGCGGAGGTTCTGTGCTTACCTTGGGTTATTGATTAACTTTTCCTATTATGTGAGCGAGGAAGAAATTGGGGGCCATTTTACTGGGACAATCCATTATGGAAAGCCGTAGTCTGCTTTGTTTTCAAAGCCTGCGGCTGAGTTTCAGTACTGACCAAGCAGCACTTCAGACAGGGAGTGTCCCTCAGGTGCTCCACAGTTTCACATTCCTGAGCTCCTTTTTTTTCCTGGACCACTCCAAAATTCCGAATTTGCCAGCGTGGAACTGTATTTTGTGGCCTCTCATTTCTCCTGTTCATATGCAAGTTGTTTCCATGAATATTTTGCAGGAGGTAGTATGGATCGTAAATAATTGTTAAGCATCTATGTTCGACAGGCAAGTAAATCAAAACATTGACCATCATAAAATCAGGGTGAAAAGTTAGTGTTAAGATTTGTGGATTTCAGTGGATAATATATTATTCATGATTTCTCTGAAATATATCAAATTCAGATTTATTTTCATTGTATATGCCATGTTCGTGTCTTGGTTATCACCATTATCAAAACAATGGCATTTGGTAAAACTTACATCATATTCTTAGAAGTACAGTTCAGATCTGAAATTTCAAATGATCCACAGATGACGCATAAGAGTGAAAAATGCATCTTTAAATGTTCTTACGGAGACGGACAAACATATGGAGAGAGCAAGGAAGTCACAGCACGGTAGGGACCAGAGCAACCGTCCAGCAGGCTGGGAACTGGCCTTGCAGGTGGCCACCCAGGCTAGAATCCCACGTAATACCTACGGTCCCCCAAGTACAGCCAGAGGAGTGATGCTTGAGTGCTGAGCCAGGAGCGACCCCTGGGCACAGCCAGGCGTGCCCCCCAAAAAGAAGTGCATGCGGCCTACTTAGCGGTCTGGGAAGGGTAGTATTGGCTTTCTGTAAGGCTCTTACAGGTTTTCTGTAAGGCTGAAATGATTTCAAAATAAGTAAAACTTACGTTTATTTAATGATAAATAGAAATTATCAATTTTATTTAAAGGATATTTTTATAATATGTGTGAAAAACCTAAAAGCACATGTATTCTTCATGAGTCCTTAAGCTAATATTGGCTAACTCACTTATCAGAAATCAATTGCTCAGAAAACCTTAGAAATCTACCTTATTTAAGTGAAAAAGTGCTTCACAATTGCCCTGGAACCTTCTAAGCCCACCCATGCCCCCATTTCAGTATCCCCTGAGAGGGTGCTGTCACCCTTTGGGAACCCTTCCTCCTCTTGCAGCCATCTAGACTACGAAAATGGCCATCGACATGTGCCAAGATGTATGAGTATCATTTTCATCATAGGATTTTCTGCTGTAGTAGTGATGCTCGTTCTACATCATTTGTTCTTTCCTAAGTGTAAAGCCAACACGGCTGACTTTCTCATCAGAAATGTGCCTGTGTGTGTGCTTTCAAGTCCTTCAAAGTTATTTTACCTAAAATCTTATTTTGAAAAATGTTCTCAATATTCCTACTTTGGACAACCTGGCAGGCTACCGAATGTGACCTGCCCACATGGCAGAATCTGGCAAACTCCCCTCGATATGCCAAATACCAGTAACAATGAAGGGTCTCATTCTCCTAACTCTGAAAGAGCCTTGAATATTGCACTTTTTAAAAACATTTCAGGGCTAGGACGAAGAAGACGTTACTGGGGCCTGCTCAAGGCAATCGACGAATAACAGGATGGTCATGATTCTCAATAGTATACACAGAAATAATTTAGTTATAAACTAATATATATTGCAATGACTATCTCCCATTTCTTCCCTTGTGAAAAAATTGTGAAATTCACAGGACTTGAATTTACCCTCAACAATTTTAAGTGGAGTTACGTGGAACTGAGTTGACTCTCCATGCGGCAGCCAACCACATCCTCATCCACCTGCAGACCTCACTTCATACTGTGAAACCAAACTCTCTGCCTGTCAAACAGTAGCTTCCCTCCACTTCCCAAAACCAACTATCTTATTTTTTTTTTCATTTTTTCCTTTAAATTTTATTGAATCACCATGAGATAGTTACAAGCTTTCATGTTTCGGTAACAATCACACAGTGATCAAACACCCATCCCTCCACCAGTGCACATTCCCCACCACCAAAATTCCTGGTATACCCCCCCTGTCCCACCCTCCCCCTGCCTCCATGGCAGACAATATTCCCCATACTCTCTCTCTACTTTTGGGCATTATGGTTTGCAATAAAGACCCTGAGAGGTTATCATGTTTGGTCCGTTAGGTAGCTGGGAGCCAACTATCTTCTTTAGTCTCCAATTGTTCAGTCTAACTCATCTCAGTGTCATCAAAGAATTTGACTTTTTGTTACTTTGTTCACAGCTTACTTTAGTTAGCATAATGTCCTCAAAATTCAGTCATGTGTGAAAAGTTCCTTACTTGTTAAGGCTGATTACTGTGGGCTCTGTGTGTGTGTGTGTGTGTGTGTGTGTGTGTGTGTGTGTCTGTGTTGGGATACTGTATACCATACTTCAATGTGACACATGGAAATGTTCAGAGTAATTTTATTAGGTAGTGGGGTAGCGGTGATGTACTTTCTTGTTTTTCTTCACGAGAATAATGGTGTGTTTGAATGAAAAGAAAGTTACCTTGGGTGTGTATAGGTAAATATTTAGGTAGTCATATAGTTAAATATAGCAGAGGTGAGGGAAAAAGCTCTTGTCATTGAGACCAGTGTCAAAAGTTACAATAATGCTTTGTAAAAATTATATATTGTTGGTCGTTGACTCATAGATCTATGTGTACAGTTCCCTTATATGAACTGACCCACATCCCTTACCCCAACCAATGTACTAGCAAAACACAGGTGCACATGCATATACACACACACATACACAGGATGTTAGTAATTCTGTTAGTATATAATTCCCATGGTTTTGTATATTCAAAATATGTTCCAGAGAACATCTGATATTATAAATCATTGGGATTATTGCATAAAAATAAAATACTTTGAATGAGATGCCTGGGGTGAAGGCAATAAATATGTATATATATATGCATGTATATAGATAAGGTGGCTGAGTGGTTAAGGCGATGGACTGCTAATCCATTGTGCTATGCACGCGTGGGTTTGAATCCCATCCTCGTCGGTTTCTAGGGCTGGAGCAATAGCACAGCGGTAGGGCATTTGCCTTGCATGCAGCCAACATGGCCGACCCAAGTTCGATTCCTCCACCCCTCTCGGAGAGCCCGACAAACTACCGAGAGTATCTCGCCCGCATGGCAGGGCCTGGCAAGCTCCCCGTGACGTATTCGATATGCCAAACACAGTAACAACAAAAGTCTCCAATGGAGACGTTACTGGGCCCCCTCGAGCAAATCGATGAACAACAGGAGGGCCTTTATTTAAATTTTATTTATTTTATATGCATGTATATGTATATACATATTAAATATATATACATATGCACATGTGTATATGCATATACATATATATGTGTGTGTATATATAAGTATATGGTTCTTTGAGCATTCTATTTTTTTCCCTTCATACCCAGCGCTGCTCAGGGCTTACTCCTGGCTCTGCATGCAAGAATCACTCCTGGTGGTGCTTGGGGGACCATCTAGGATGCCGGGGGATCGACAAGGCAAACGCTCTCCCTGCTGTGCTATTGCTCTAGCCCTGCCCCCCATCCCCATGGAATAGTATTGAAGAATCTATTTTATGAAAAGATCATAATAAGTCTTTGCCGAAACGACCTTCCTTTAAAAGCACTTATGAAAATTATGTTAAATATTTGTGAAGGGCGTTTGTATTATGGAAATGCACACTCATTAGTCTGTATTTGACATCCTCTGTTTATAACCATATTAGGATGACTTTATGTTTGTGTATCCACAAACACAAAGAATGCCCCAGAAACTTCATGAGACAACCCTATGAGCCTATCAGCTACATCAGACCTATTTTAATTTGTTTCCATCCTTTGATGAAGAAATGCCTGACCTTCAAACTAGAACCTAGTTGAAAGATGCTTCATGCCAGCCACAATTTACTTGACTTTGAGTCGAAAGGGCATCTCACATCTTGGATGTGGAGTTTAGCAGCATCTTGGGGTAGAACTGGTTCCTATCGTAACTGTTAATATTGTCCATAATATAAATTCTCTCCTTTCTTCTCAATTTCAGATTTTGTCGACGGACCGATTCATCACAAAGCCTTACTTATATCTGTGACTGTCTGTAGTTTGCTCTTGGTTCTTATCATTTTGTTTTGTTATTTCAGGTAAGATTCTGACATATAGATGAAGAGTTTTTAATTTATAATGTCTTCTTTATACTATTATTCTGCCCATTACTTAAGAGCTCGTTTGACCATATTGTAACTGTGATTTAATTATAATATCAACTTTGATAAGATTTTTTTCTAATGAAATTGTAAACAGATAACTTCTATCATTTATTGCTCTTTTTGTTGCTCCTTCAGACGTCAGAACTACACAGAATTTCATACTTAGAGAAATTAGATTAGTTAGGGAATTCAGAAGCTGTTTATTAGAGGTTTGTCTCTAAACAGGAAAAAGACCCTGTTCAAACTTAGAATCTCTCTTCTATGCTCTTGTGTTCTGAGCTAACAATTTCCTTTATGTGCTGGAAAAATAAGGATAATTCATAGAATAATAATGAAAACAGGGGCTGGGGAGATAGTGCAGTGGGTAGGGCCGACAGCTTTAATTCCCAGCATCCGCCAGGGTTCCCCCAACTCCTCAGCCGGGTTCCTGACCACAGAGCCCCGAGTAAGTAGAGGACCTGAAAGTCTTTGTGGCCCCAAACCTAAAAATAGTTAAAATAAAATCAGTTTTCATATTAAAGTTTGGCAGTTGCAGGTTACTCGCAGTCACTAGGAAAGTTCATGGTAGCACTGTAGCACTGACCTCCCATTGCTCGTCGATTTGCTCGAGCAGGCCTAGTAACGTCTCCATCGTGAGACTTGTTGTGACTGTGTTTGGCTTATCGAATATGCCATGGGGAGCTTGCCAGGCTTTGCCGTGCAGGCAAGCTACTCTCGGTAGCTTGCCGGGCTCTCCGAGAGGGGCAGAGGAATCGAACCCGGCCTGGCCAGGCTGGCTGCACGCAAGGCAAACGCCCTACAGCTGTGCTAGTCTCTGAAATAATCAGGAGCTTCCCTCTGTGGCACGTGGGCCAGGGACAGTGCAGAGGTCAAGGCCATTGCCTTGTGAGCAGCTGATCTGGTCCTCCTTGCCACACACTGATCAGCCCACCACATGTTGGTCTTTAATCAACCGCCAATCTTAGAGATGAGAATTTAAGAAAGAAACAGATGCACGGGTGGCAGGCAGCCCGCAGGGCGCTGGTGACTGGAAGGACTAGGGGAGGGAAAGGCTTCTGCATCGGCCCTGTGGACCCCGGGACCTGGGTCTCCGGTGCCAGGACAGGCTGCGGTGGCTGGGTAACTGCTGCCCTGGGCATCTGGGTCCCCGTCCCCATGGCCCTGCATGCTGACGGTGCTCTGCCCTAGGTCCAGGCGGCAAGACGGACGACCACGGTACAGCATCGGCCTGGAGCAGGGCGACTCCTGCATCCCTGCCGGCGAGTCCCTGCGGGACCTCATCGAACAGTCCCAGAGCTCAGGCAGCGGTTCTGGGCTGCCCCTGCTGGTAGGAGTGGGCATTAGCGGGGTTGGGGGGTGGAGGGGGCAGCCAAGGGGAGGGGGGTTCCAGGAGCCTGCTGGGGAGATGAGCTGGGTAGCTCTAGGCTCGCTCTCTCCCTCTCTCTCCCTCTCTTTCCCTCTCTTTCCCTCTCTCTCCCTCTCTCTCACACTCTCTCTTTCTCTCTCCCCCTCTGTCTCCCTCCCTCTTTCTCTCACACTGTCTCTCTTTCTCTCCCTCTTTATCTCTCTCCCTCTCCCCCTCCCTCTCTCTCACTCTCTCTTTCTCTGTCTCTTCCTTTCTCCCTCTCTCTCTCCTTTTCTCTCCCCCTCTCTCCCTCTCTCTCCCTTTCTCTCCCTCCCTCTCCCTCCCTCTCTTTCTCTCTCCCTCTCTTCCTCTCTCTCTCCCTCTCTTTCTCTCCCTCTCCCTCTCTCTCTCCCTCTCCCTCTCTTTCCTTCTCTCTCCCTCACTCTCTCCCTCTCTCTCCCTCACTCTCTCCCTCTCTCCCTCTCTTTTTTCCCTCTCTCCCTCTCTTTCTGCCTCTCTCTCTTTCTCCCTCTTCCTCTCTCCCTCTCTCTGTCTCTCTCTCCCTGTCTCCCTTTCTCTCCCCCCCTCTCCCTCACTCTCCCTCTCTCTCTCCCTCTTTCTCTCACTCTCCCTCTCTCTCCCTCTCTTTCCTTCTCTCTCTCCCTCACTTTCTCCCCCTCTCTCTCCCTCTCTCCCTCTCTTTTTCCCTCTCTCTCTCTTTTTGCCTCTCTTTCTCCCTCTCTCTCTTTCTCCCTCTCTCTGTCTCTCTCACTCTCTCTCTCTGAAAGGTTATCACTATATCCCTTTACCTGCTTTCAACACTCCAAGTGAGTCAGAAGGAAAGGGACAGATATAGAATGACTGCATTTATTTGTGGGGCATAAGAAAAATGTATGAAAATAATATCCAAGGCCAGGGAAAATTGGCCAGGAGGACTGGCCAGTGGTTGGTCAATGGTGAGGGAGATGGAGGGGAGTTAGGACAGAGGAAGCTCCATTATGCCAGTATTAGTAAGAAATGATCGCTCTGTAATTTTTTTTTTATTGTGGATGTGGTGACACCTATGTCTTCAGCTAAACTCCCGAAATCCCACAAAACCTTGAATCAGTGAGCTGAGGCGTATTTCTAACCACGTGCTTTGGGCTTCGTCAGGTCCAGAGGACGATAGCGAAGCAGATTCAGATGGTGAAGCAGATCGGGAAAGGCCGCTACGGGGAGGTGTGGATGGGGAAGTGGCGCGGCGAGAAGGTGGCGGTGAAAGTGTTCTTCACCACCGAGGAGGCCAGCTGGTTCCGGGAGACGGAGATCTACCAGACGGTGCTCATGAGGCACGAAAATATTTTGGGTGAGTGAGAGCCACACTCCAGGCTTCCCGACGGCCTCTTCCTCGAACACCTCCATGCGACGCCCGTGACCAAGCCCCCAGATGCGCTCTTCCTGGCCCAGTCCAGGAGTGTTAGGAGCTTCTCCTGGGAGACCTCCTGGAGGAAGGACAGAGCCCCCTGGGTGATGGGCGGCTGGGAATGCAACACCCGCACACACTGTTTTGCTCCGGGACATGCAACTGCCATCCCAGACTTCCTGGGGTTTCTAAGGGAATTGTAGGAGCATGTTTTTGTGTCAATATTATAAAATGTTTTAAGAATTGTATAGGCAGAGTTCACTTTTCGCCAGACTTTCTATCAACAATTGATTTCTATTCTGTTTTTTTCAAGTTGGAAATGCCAAGTTGGGTCAGTCAGGTAGAAGGAGTGTTTGCCAATGGGACCTTGTGTGGATGTTGTGTGGACGTTGGGCCAAGACCCTTCCTGGTAATTGTGTCAGGCAGCTCTCGTAGGACAGACCATTTTCTGGGGTTTTGTTGGTTTGTTTATTTGGGGGCAACACCTGGATGTGCCCCGGGGTTACTCCTGGCCTTGCACTCAGGAATAATTCCTGGTGGTGCTAGGGGTCATACAGAATGAGCCCAGGTCAGTCACATGCAAGGCCAGCGTGCTGTGTACTGTTTCTCCATTCACACAACCATTTCTGCTGACTTTAAAATCATATGAATATCGGTTACTTCGTAGGAAGGTCTCATGTTTTCAGGCACAAGCTCCTGGTGGTTCTTTGCTGTTTGATTGCTTCTGACAATCCTAATTCAATACCTCCTAGGCATAATCCAACTATTAAATTAAAAAAAATAAACAAAATATGTCAAAATAAAACAGTGATCTCTGGGAAAGTGAGTCCTTCCTGAGAATATGCAGACCACATTAGCTCCAAGCCTGCCTTAACTGTTTGGTCTTTCTTTCTTCGTTCAGGGTTTATTGCTGCAGATATTAAAGGGACAGGCTCTTGGACCCAGCTATACCTGATCACAGACTACCATGAGAATGGTTCCCTCTATGATTATCTGAAATCCACCACCCTGGACACGAAATCGATGCTCAAGTTAGCCTACTCTTCTGTCAGCGGCTTGTGCCACTTACACACTGAAATCTTTAGCACTCAAGGCAAACCAGCGATTGCCCATCGAGACCTGAAAAGCAAGAACATCCTGGTGAAGAAAAATGGGACATGCTGTATAGCTGACCTGGGCCTGGCCGTCAAATTCATTAGGTCAGTATTGAGGTGAACAAACAGACTTCTCATTTCTGTCACTTTTTTTCTGTCACTGTCATTGTCCTCCCGTTGTTCATCCATTTGCTCGAGCGGACCCAGTAACATTGTGAGACTTGTTACTGTGCTTGGCATATCGAATACGTCACTTTCTATACATTTCCAATTGGGGGACTTATTGAATATTTGCTAGAGGAGGGATTTCTTTACATTAATATTGGCATTAGTGAGGAAAAAAAAACAGTTTATTTCAATAAAAGAATTCAGATCAATCTGTGCTCACCATGACCTCACAACAGGTTGTAGTTGGCATGAAAAGAGGGCGCTAAGGGCCAGGTAGGGGGCTGGCCTTGCATGATCCTCACCTGGGCTTGTGACCTGACACCCTGTCCAGTCCCCCGAGCCCGCCAGGACTGAACCCCTGAGAGCAGAGCAAGGAATTAGCCCTGAGCACAGCCAGGCGAGATCCCTGACACAAACAAAACCAAACACAAGAAGAAAAGAAGAAAACCTAAGTTTGGGATCCTGTGTTGGCCTTTCTGCATGATGTTAATAGGCGGGAATTGCTTCAGGTGTGAGGTGTGGGGGCGAAGAGACAGTCCAATGGGGAGGTGTTTATGTTGCATACAGCAACCTGGATTTGGTCCCCAGCATCCCATCTGGTCCAGTGGCTCACCAGGGTGACCCCTGAGCACAGAGCCAGAAATACGCCCTGGGTATTGCTGGGTGTTACACCCCCCAACCTTCCCCATGCAAAACTAACTAACAAAATAAATAAAACAATGTGAGCTACAGATTATGTAGTAGTAAAGGCAATGGAGTTTTATTTATTTATTTATTTATTTATTATTTTATTTTATTTTATTTTATTTTTTTGCTTTTTGGGTCACACCCAGGAATGCACAGGGGTTATTCCTGGATCTGCACTTAGGAATTACTCCTGGCAGTGCTGGGGGACCATATGGGATGCTGGGAATCGAACTCAGGTCGGCCACATGCAAGGCAAACACCCTACTTGCTGTGCTATTGCTCCAGCACCGGAGTTTTTTATTTTTAATGATTTGAGAATAGGAACTCGTCTAACGATTCTGAGAAATGTTAGAAAATCATACAGCACGGTCGGTATCCACCACCGAAAGATGAGCACTAGCAAATGAGCACATGCCTGAACGTGGGACCAGCACACGTTACATGCAGTGAGTGCATGGCCGAGCCTGGCCTCAGTCAGGTCAGTCACGTGCAGTGTGGGGGAGGAGAGGGCCTAGCGCTGGTCTCTGCTTGCTCGCCTTTGCATGCTCAGACCCCCCTGTGTCTGCAGACGATGTCAGTCACTGAAAGAACCTTCCCTCTGCTTTGTGAACAGCAGCCGCAGGATGAGTTCTTCACACTAGTGACAGAGTGATGGGCTTACGTGACTACCCGTTCCGACACTTCGTCTGGGCTTAGGCTGTGTGGAACGCACTTGACCCATGTGTGGCCTGTTTCCTTGTCTCTGGGGAGGTTGAGGGGATTGCAGCTCCCCTGGAAGGCACTGATAGGTTGTCTTTTCACAGGAAGTTAAGGCTCAGGTGTGGTTTTATGTGGTCTCCACTGGAGGGGGTCTTGCAGAGTGAAGAGGGACAAAGGCCCAGCGGTCGCTCTCAGATGCATAGTATGAAGAAACACAGGGGCTGCGCCCAGGATTGCAGGCCCTGGAGTCGGCCTGAGCACTCAGTTTGCACCATCTCGCCCGTCCAGGGCTCAGGACAGTGACACTGGTTTTGGGGGGGGGGGGGTACAGCTCTAGGCTCCTTGGATGCAGGAATGAATGAATGGAGCCTACGTTAAAAGCTCTTAAAGAATAAAAAGTCTCTCAGAAAATAATAATAGTCCCCAAACATATGAAGGTTGTCACATTTGGATGATGGCAAGTTCCATTTTTTAATCATTAAAAATGAATCAGGAGGGGGCTGGAGCAATAGCACAGCGGGTAGGGCATTTGCCTTTCACGCGGCCAACCCAGGTTCGATTCCCAGCATCCCATATGGTCCCCTGAGTAGTGCCAGGGGTGATTCCTGAGTGCAGAGCCAGGAGTAACCCCTATGCGTCACCAGGTGTGACCCAAAAAGCAAAAAAAAAAAAAAATGAAGCAGGAGGAAATGATTTGGGCTAAGATTTAAATGTTTGCCTTTCATGCAGCCAACATGGCCGACCCGAGTTCGATTCCTCCGCCCCTCTCGGAGAGCCTGGCAAGCTACCGAGAGTATCTCACCCGCATGGCAGAGCCTGGCAAGCTCCCCATGACGTATTCGGTATGCCAGACACAGTAACAACAAAGTCTCCAATGGAGACGTTACTGGGTCCGCTCGAGCAAATCGATGATCAACGGGAGGGCCTTTACTCGAGCAAGATTTAAATGAGAAATATAAACACCTTGCCAATAAGGATTATTAAAGCATCCTCATTTTGATACACACACACACATATATATACAAGTTTTTTTTCAAGTTTCCTCTGTAAAAAACATTTCTCAACATACTTCCTAGTGACCAGCCCTCTCGTGTACTTCTCATTAAGGTCCTCCGGACCTTCGATGCTCACGCGCTTCTAGTCCATGACACAGTGATTCGGCTTCTCTATGAGGTCGGGCAGGACCTTTGTCCTGAGGCCTCTCACGTCTTCACCCCCTGGCCACTGCCCGCATCCTTCCTCCTTCCCTTTGTGATGTTCCTGTGTCCACAGCAGCACCCGAGTGCCCGCTGACACCCCTCGTGAGGACAGAGCTGCCCCGCCTCCCAGTGCCCCTCCACTCACCTCCATTACCTGGGGGCCACTCTCTGACTGCCCAGTTTGGCCTGGCCGCCTTCACTGTCCCTCCCTGGTTTCCTTCTGGGGTAAGTTATTCTGACAGGGCTGTGCGTCACACTTCCTCTGCCCCCTGAATGCTTGCTTGGTTGAAGAAATCCTGGTACCATGATGGCACCTTCCTAAAATGAGCCAGTTTTGGTCACTTTGACAATTTATCTCGATTATGGGGTGAAGTTACTGTGCTACAGAGATGTTACACCTGTTCTACTGGATTATTAAGCATCACACAAAAGTCACCAAGCAGAACAAAGCCCGAGCTCTTGCTCCCGTTCATGGTACTAGTACTGGCTCTCGAGTACCAGCCTGTACTCTTGCATCATGAACGTTCTCCCAGTCTACCAGTAAATAGATCAGAGTATGACATTTTCCTAAAGCTATACTACTATATAGATATTCCTTTTTCTTTTATTAATAATACCTATTATTTGGTTTGTGAAATAATAATAGAAATTTTCTGAATATCTTAAAAAATCCAAAATTACATGCATGTGAATTTATCAATTTAAAAATAAAGCTATAAAAAAGGAAAAGATACATTTTAGACGTTTAATATATTAAATGAGTGTAAAGGGCATTTGCCTTGCATGCGGCCCACCTGGTCAACCCGGGTTCAATTCCTCCACCCCTCTCTGAGAGCCCAGCAAGCTACCGAGAGTATCTCGCCTGCGCGGCAAAGCCTGGCAAGCTCCCCGTGAGGTATCCGATATGCCAAACACAGTAACAACAAGTCTCACAATGGAGATATTACTGGGCCCACTTGAGCAAATTGATGAACAGCAGGAGGACAATGACAGTGAAATTATTTAAAATTTATATTTGATTGAGTATGTAGCCATCTCTTAAGAACCTTGTTACTGAAGTAGCATTGGTTTGTAGCACCAATATTCCATCCAGGTTACACAGCATTGTAAATCATTGTAAAATAATTGTAAATCAACCTCTGTGTAAATTGCATTGCTCTTTTGACCCAAAGTCTAGTTTCCATCCATCACAGGACTGACATCTATCTTCTACCCAAAGTACTTGTCCCCGTATTCTTCACTTTTTAAAAACAATAATTTCTTCTACTCTAAATGTCAGGTTGGTTTGTTCACTTGTTTCATTTCTGTCTGGGGGATGGTTGGGCCACAGTCTTGTTCTCAGGGCTTACTCCTGGCTCAGCACTCGGGGTCACCCCTGGCAGTGGTCAGAGGAACAGATGTGGTAGCCGGAAGGGACCTGAGTCAGCTGCCTGCTAGGCATATGCCTTAGCCTGTGTGCTATCTCTCCTGCCCCGACTGGTTCCATCACTTCACCTTACACATGAGAGATGTCATGTGGTCTTGGCCTTTCTCTGTTTCACTGAGCATCCAATTCCCTAAAACTCATCCAGATTTGCACGGGCAGCTTTTTGCAGTCATATGTAACAGGCATTTATGTTGTTTTTAAATCTTGGCTCTTGTCGGTATTGTTGAAGTGCACATAGGGGTCATATTGTCTTTGAATTGGCGTTTTGTGTTCTTCGGAGAATCACCCAGAAGCGGGGAAGCAGAATCCCACGGCCTCTGTACCTTACTTTATTGAGAACTTGCCATGCCATTTCCACAGCCCTGTGCAATTTGCATTCCCACCAAAGGTGTGTGAGGGTTGCCCTTCTGGTGGCTTCAGGTAAATCCCTATCTTTATTAGGTTCGCCTGCGAACAGTTAATAACTCTTGGTCAGAAACATATTTCCAGGAAATAGTATTCCCCGCAGGGGCTTAATTCTCCTCTCACCACTAAAACCCTCCTGTTGACCTTCCTCGCCCCTTCCTGTTATGCTAATCACTTTGCTTTATGTTTTGCCTCAGTGATACCAATGAAGTCGACATACCACCCAACACCCGAGTGGGCACCAAGCGCTACATGCCCCCAGAGGTGCTGGACGAGAGCTTGAACAGGAATCACTTCCAGTCTTACATCATGGCTGACATGTACAGTTTTGGACTCATCCTTTGGGAAGTAGCCCGGAGATGTGTATCCGGGGGTAAGTCAAAGTGATGTCTTTGAAAAACTGCCAGGTAGATGTTGCAGATACTGTATAATTGCAAATCAAATTGGACAATCACCTCGTCCAGGATATAGCATTTATTCTCATCGTTGTGTGGTCCTGCCAGAAAATCGCATTTAACGTGTGAAGGGCCCTTGTCTGCTTCCTGCCTGATTCCTGTTCATTTCTTGTCCACACGTTGTCAGCTTCCTCCCACCCTTTCGGGAGCCATCCCTTCTTTCCAGAGAGCTTCTCATCTCCAGTTCTCCAATTTCTCCCCCAAGTCAGACCCTCACTGCCCCGTTCAGCTTCGTACCAACCTTCTGCGCCCTAACCCGAGGCTACCTCGTTCCTTGTGACATCCTCTGTGACGCTGAAGGACAGATGTGGAGTGGGACACCCACTTTTCTTTTACATTTTTATTAGTGAAACACTATGAGGTACAGTTGTTGACTTACAGATTTGTGTGCTTGGGATTCAGTAATACAATGATCTAGTACCCATCCCTCCACCAGTGCCCATTTCCCACCACCACGGATCCTAGTATCCCTCTCACCCCCCATCCCCCCATCCCACCCAGCCTCTGTGACAGGGCATTCCCTTTTGTTCTCTCTCCTTTTGGGGACACCCACTTTCTTAGCTCCCCTTTCTTCTCGGCTCTCTAGATATCCTTCCCTGTAAAACAGATAGAAAATAACAGGTTTAATCAAAAATGTTATAAAGATATAAAGATCAGCTTTTATCAAAAAAAAGCATGACTGATGTTATTCGTAATAATTTTTTTTAAAGCATAAGAATCCAAACCATGTGAGCTTACTAAACAAGACACCTTACCTGCCCAGAGCTCTGAGTGCTGACTGCAGTGTAAGCTGAAGCCCAAACCGCCCTGGTTAGATTCTGAAACCCTTCAGGCGGTGAGACTTGGCCTTCTGGATCAACACAGTGTTTCTGGGTCCTCTTGCGGTTGTGCCATTAGGAACCCGGTGCTGATACCCTCCCAATGGCCAGTTTAATTCACTTTCATGGAGTCACAAACATGGCCACAAACTGTGTAACTTATATATGAGTATTTGGAGCTTTCTTCTTGCACCTTTTATGGTCTCTGAACCTTTGTTCTAAATTGTCTAAACTGTCCTTGGCTTCTGAAAGTTTAGAACTTCAAACAGTTCTAAACTGTCCTTGGCTTCAGTGTTCTCACACACATCAGAGATTTACTATCTTTACCTCAGATGGTAGGTGGGTGTGAGATTTCAGATTAGCACTGTAGCACTGTCCTCCCCTTTTTCATCGATTTGCTTGAGTGGGCACCAGTAATGTCTCTATTGTGAGACTTGTTACTGTTTTTGGCATATCAAATACACCACGGGGAGCTTGCCACGCTCTGCTGTGCGATACTCTCGGTAGCTTGCTGGGCTCTCCGAGAGGGACGGAGGAATCGAACCCAGGTCGGCAGGCAGCGTGCAAGGCAAACACCTTACCTGCTGTGCTATCGCTCCAGCCATAGTTAGAAGTATGTTTAAATAATGGTAGACCAAGAGGGAAGAGACTTCCTCTCAAGAATCCAAAGACTGTTCACAAGGAAGCTGATTCTATACAAAGAATGAAAGAGGAGAAATAGATGAGTTTTTTTTTTATACTCACAAATTTTTGTGCTTGGTTTTCGATTATACAATGATCAAATACCCATCCCTCCACCAGTGCCCATTTTCCACCACCACGGATCCAGGTATCCCTCCCATCCCCCATCTACCCCCAGCCCACCCTGCCTCTGTGGCAGGGCATACCCTTTGTTCTCTCTCTCATTTTGGGTGCTGTGGTCTGCAAAAAGAGGCATTGAGTGGCAATCATGTTCGGTCCATAGAAATAGATGATTTTTAAAATGGTGAGAGTTGTGTTGGGTGACAGTTCGGTGACTGATCATGTAGCAGGATTTGACATCAAACCCTCACTTCAGACATTGGACCACCCCACACTACCACAGATGGTCCTGAGAATGATCAGGGTAGCCCTGGTGGTCTTCAGCACCCCTGCCCCCCAGCATTACTGCATTACCATTAATATAATATAAGAAAAAATTCCTTTGATGTCTGCCATAACTGCTATTATTTTAGGTGAACATTGAATTGTAGTGACTGGAGGGAGAAAAAAAAACAAGAAGAAAGAGAAATTTACATAAAAGTAGTTCCTATTTAAAAGTTACAAGCTGTGTATACTTAGATAACCCAACTGAATCTAAAAAAAATAAACAAAATATAATACATTTCCTACATTTCAGTGTACTTTTTTAAATGGAGCAGATAAGAACAGAATAGAAACACCAAAAGCAAAATAAAGTATCTCGGGATTGACTTAATAGAAACTTGCAAACCCTATCTAAAGAGAACTATAAAAAACATATTGAATGCCACAAAAGATGATCAGAATAAATACAGAATTCTCCTAAGTGAGAAAATCAGATCCAAGAATAAAAATATTCACCTAATCAGTAAAGTTAGTGCTCTCCCAAATGAATGTCCATGTAGAATCTTTACAGGTAGGACTTGCCAAAGTGATTACAAAATTTGATTGGAAGGGTAAATTTAAGAGCCTCAGAAAATCTTTGGAACTACATGGAAGTAGATATATACCCTATCTGATTATAAAAATAATTTGAATTACCCAGAACAGAAGTGGCACACAATATATGTTGACTTTTAATTTTTACTTGGCTTGGCAGGAACTTACTTTAGAGTCATATTTTAATATAAAGAAGAAATGCTTTATCACACGTTAGTAGAAAGATCATCTCCTCATTGCCTTCTAATTCTGCTCAATGCCTTCTAATCATGCTGGAATTAGAAGCCTCATTCATATATGCAGTTCAGAGATCACATTTCCCTTAAATAGGAGAATTCTTTTGTCCAATTGTAAATTCATTGTAGGAAATCTTTACCAGGCAGATATTGAGTTTATCTTTCCCATGCCTAGGAAGAAGAATTTAAGGTAGCTTGTGCCTTGATTTCACAAACACTGTCCTCCCATTATTCATCGATTTGCTCGAGCGGGCCCAGTAACGTCTCCATTGTGAGACTTCTTGTTACTGTGTTTGGCATATTGAATACTCTCGGTAGCTTGCCAGGCTCTCTGAGAGGGGTGGAGGAATCGAACCTGGCTCAGTCAGGCTGGCTGCGCGCAAAGCAAGCGCAGGACATTCCCTTTTGTTCTCTCTCTCTCTCTCCTTTTGAGTGCTGTGGTTTGCAAAAGAGACACTGAGTGGCAATCTTGTTCGGACTATAGTCTACTCTCATCACGCATCTCCCATCCTGAGAGGAACCTCCCAACACCCTTTATTTGGTGCTCCCTTCTCTATCTGAGCTGCCTTTTCCCCTAGTGTGTGCGGCTGTCCTCAAAGCCATGGAGTAATCCTCCTGGTACTTATATCGGCTATTCTTGGGTGTTAGTGGACAGACATTCTTAACTAGCATTCAAGAGCCTTTAGAAAATTTGAAATATGCTCTTTGTACTTAGCTGTTGTAAATTGGGGGAAAAGGCTTATAGACTGATAAAAAATCTGCTTTATTCAGTTTTCCGCTCATTAGAAAATTAGATTGGTATCATTTGGGCCTCTTTGGGGGGAGATTGACCTTGCGGTTTTCAGCCTTGATTTGCCTTTAGTGGATAGTCTCAGTCGACTCTGTTTGCTCTTCACTGAGAACACCAATCACAGAGCTGTCACTCTCTCTCAGGCATCGTGGAGGAATACCAGCTCCCCTACCACGACCTGGTGCCCAGTGACCCATCCTACGAGGACATGAGGGAGATTGTGTGTCTCAAGAAGCTGCGGCCCTCCTTCCCCAACCGGTGGAGCAGTGATGAGGTGAGAACTGAGCATGCCTTCCTCCTCCAGCCTCCAAGGCGAAATGTTCATCACGGGATTCTCTCTCATGCGAATGGTTAGGATAAAGGTGTGTCACTGCAAGAACTCAGATGGAGCTGGGTGCAGTCCATAACTTTTCTCCTATTTGATTCTGTCATTCTCAGGATATATCGAGTGGCTTAACATTTAGCCTACAAAGCAGATGAGATCATTTCATTTATTTGTGGTATCTTGACATTTGCATAAAGGCCATTATTTCTCTTTGTATGTGTTTTAAAGCATCATGAATTTTCTTCATGACAAACCATGTACAACATTTGCCCATTTTGATGAGGAATGATATGCTTGTGAAAAATTACATTTTCTCTACACAGAAGTGATGCAAGTTAATCTATTGAAATGCCTGGCTGTGGGTCTTTGGCAGTAAGAGTGATGAGATGGAATTTGAATGAATCTATGATCCACTGAGCCCTGAGCAGGTTGTAAAGGTCCGAGGAGGAAATTATTCAGGAAAGGACTTTCCTGGGCCTTCACTGCCTGCCCCTTTCCACCCACTGCTCCCCTTGGACACTCAGCCAAGTTCTAGGTGCTCTTCAGACAGCTGGAGATGAACTGGGTTCATCTCTGGGGAAAAAGGGCTCTACCAGCATGAACCCAAACCACAGATAGAGCACCATTTAAAAACTAGTTCGACAGCAACAAAAATACCCACTTGGTCCATTGGCTTGTATGTAATCAAGGAAATGTGGAATGATAAAAACGTCCCCAATGTGCTTTGCAGAAAGCTCCCTGAGATGCAGGAGTTGAGTATCGTAAAGGCAGACACAGTATTCGTATGACTGGACCCCCATCGTTGCTTTCTCGCCATCCTGTACTCCCCAAAATACAATTCTGTTCATTCTTTCAGGAAGACCAGTAATTGACACAGCACAGACAACACGAGAGAAAGTTTGGACAAGACTGACACAGGGTATCAGTCTTGCTGAAGGGGCGCATGGAGAGCTTTGTAGTGGGCAGCTGGGATTTAGGAATCAGCATCTTTGTTTGACTCGTGTGGGATTTAAGAAAAGATCTCAGCTAATCGTCTATTAGGAACAGTTGGTAGTGGAATACAGATCTACTGGTACCTTTGTTTTTGTTCAATACTGACTTCGGATGTGGATCTACCGTTGGCGAAATCCAGTGCTTGCTAATACCAACAAGGAAGGCATGAGAGGCCTGACAGTCTGACTGAGTCATCTACATTCTCATTAAAATTTGGGGACACCCAGAGGCCCCTCCTGGAAGTACTTGGCTGATGGAGCTGGGTGTGGACTCGGGCCATGTATAGTTCCCTGGGTCGTTGCCAACACGCTTGGCCTTCGGGGCTGCACCCACAGCCATCAGGGGATTGTGCAGTGCCAGGCTTGACCACATACAAGGCTCAACTCCTTGTGCTATTTCAGCTGCTTCCACGTTGATTTTTTGTAATGGAACCTTAGGAGCACATGAAGTTAGGGTACATTTGAGACATACGCGCGAGCTTAAAAATGCACATGAGAAGCCAGATTTCAGAGAATGCAGACTGAAATGCCCACCCTGCAGAGAGTACCACCCCTTCCTCATTCATCCTGTTCTCTTCTCCCTCCCGCAGTGTCTACGGCAGATGGGGAAGCTCATGACAGAGTGCTGGGCGCACAGTCCTGCCTCCAGACTGACGGCCCTGCGCGTGAAGAAAACACTTGCCAAAATGTCAGAGTCTCAGGACATTAAACTCTGATTTAAGGGCCCCGTCTAAGCGTCTCTGGAGAAAACCAGTAGATCTTCTGTCTGTGGGCAGAGCGAAGGATGTTCCCGCAGCGGCCGCTTAACAAGACTCGGCCATCAGTCACCTCCCAGGGAGCTGGCCCCACGCCTCAGGGAGGAGCTGGACACAGACAGATACGAGACCCCGCGCCCCTCTGCCACAGGGAGCGCTCACTCGGGAGCTTGCTCGAGATGCGATGCATGTTGCTTTCTAAGAAAGCCCCTATTTTGGAATTGCCTTTTATTTTTTTCAAAAGATGCTTTAATTTTGCCAAAATAAAATGAGCGATTTGATGTTTTAAGATTTTTACTATCATAGATTAAATGCTAACAACTAACATTCTCTCCAGAATCTCTGCTGGAAAGCAGATGAAAATTCCTTTTTTTCCACTGGTAAAATTTTGTTGCAATCTGCAAAGCAAGAGACAGTATGCAAAGTTGGCAAACATAGAATGGCTCTCGCCCTCTTCAAAGCCCCACCCTCTCAAACCACTCTGGCCAGCCCTTTGCTGGGGGCTGCAGCTACAATGTGAACACCTGGGTACAACGACCACCTGTCTGCCACCATGTCTGAGGACCTGCAGGCGACCCTCTGTGCCTCGGTGACATGGAACAAATGAAGGTTTTCTGTGACTCTACAGGAAGTGTTGATGCAGTTCTTAGATTGAGAATCTTTCAATTCTGTCTCCTTCCTTCCTTCCTTCCTTCCTTCCTTCCTTCCTTCCTTCCTTCCTTCCTTCCTTCCCTCCCTCCCTCCCTCCCTCCTCCCTCCTTCTCTCCCTCCCTCCCTCCCTCCCTCCCTCCCTCCCTCCCTCCCTCCCTCCCTCCCTCCCTCCCTCCCTCCTTCCTTCCTTCCTTCCTTCCTTCCCTTTCTTCCTTCTTCCCTTGCTCCTTTCCTTTTCCTCTCCCCCTCCCTCCCTCTCTCCCTCCCTCCCTTCCTCTCTCCCTTCCTCTTTCCCTCCCTTCTGGCCTCATCCTTGCAAGGCCAGCATTCTGTCTCTGTGCCCTCTGCTGTCTATCAAGGTGAATCCCTTCCTTTTAATTTGAGACAAGCGTAGCTATATTTTCTTTATGCCTTGAGAATTAACCCATGTATACATTTGAATCTCATAAATGAAAGCTTCAGTAGTAAACAAAACTTATCAATGGTGATGAAGACTAGGTGTTCCAAACTAAAGATCATGTGCTCTTTTACTCCAAGAGAAACACACCAGAAAGGCAGGGTAGTGTGGGTTGCACTGGGCTTGCTCCGTATCTATGAGGAGAGCATGTGTGTGTGTGTGTGCACCTTACTGTCTTTAAATTCATGAGCTTCTGTTAGTACCTATCTTTCTGGGTCTGTCTTAGGGGAAGGAGAGAAAGATATGTGGTTAATATGACTAAAGTTTAACTTAAAACTAGACAAATACCGTCACCAAATTGGACAGAGGCAGTGAGTTAGTGAAAGCCACTAAATATTATGACTGCTGGGATTTATTCTTTTAGACTAGCTATGGATTGAGCACATCCATTTTTAAATGAGACTTACACATCTTAGATGTACTCAGTTTATTTTATTCTCACAAGTCTCAGTTCGATTTTCAGTGTATTTTTTTTCCTCTGTGGCACTCATGCAGGAAATCTTTCCATCTGCTCAAATCTGAAGGTTATTTTTAAGTTTTATTGCCACAAGTGAGATCATGGACAGGGCCAGTATTCCTGTGTAATGGGAACGTAATCAAGTTCAAGACTTTACACATCTCACACTATCTTCACTACTGTGGTTTTCTTTCTTCTGCTTCTCAAGGAAATCTTGGCAAGAATTCCGATCAACTTCCTCTTGCCCGTTTTTTGTTTTTTGTTTTTTTGCAAACGATGTTCCTTCCATCCAACTCTAGGGGGCAGCGTTTAGTAGCACATTTCCACCATTGGCAACAGAAAGATAGAGGATTTTTCTAAAACATGTGCCAGCTGTAAGAAAAATGAGAAAATATTTCCCTCACTTCTGAAGTAGGCTTCCAGCTGCTAGCCCAGAAAGCGAGCCTGTAAGCTGTGCTCACAGATTAGGGACCGCCAGCCCTGGGCACCCAGCGCTTCCCAGCTACTGTTGATCACAAAGACTTTTGTCTCATTCTTATGAGAAAAAAAATCTCTATTTCAAAAGATTGAAAAACAGATGGCTCCAACTCATCGGGATGCTGCTTTTATTGATATTAACATAGCTTGAATACCAATCTAAAGGTTCTTTGTTGTGTGTCAAGTTGTATTTGTGTGTGTGTGATAGTTTAGAAGGACTGCAGGGCTAGAAATAAGTGTGACAATCAGCTGAGCCTCGAGTAGGAACTCTAGTGCCTGTAGTTAGATCACCAACAGACAAATCAATAACCGTTGTGCCATTACGCGGGGGTCGGGGTATGTTTGTTTCTTGATACTTTCCCCTAAATTCAGGTGAGGTTGGGTTGACCTTTTCGATAAAAAAGTGTTTCTTTGTTGGTAACTTCTTCATTCTTATACATTGACAAGTTCCAACAAAAATTGCTTGTGGAGAGGTGGTGATTTAAACTAGAATAGGTTTAATTCTCTAGGAAGGTTTTGGTTCTAGTGAAAATGCAAAAAAATTAAAATACTATTTGCATTTCTAAAATATGATATGTTGGTTATATTGGGGAAAACATTAGTTTTTAAAATACCCCTTCTGATTGACTTTTATGAATATTCAAAGTTATTCCTGAGATAAATTCACAGATCCATTTGTTGTAATTGTCTCTTAATGACACAAGAATTCCATTGTAAATAGATTTTTTTCTGTATCTTACCAAAATCCACCTTATTTATAGAATACTAAAATAATCTTAAAGAGACTGCCTTCTCACTCGCAAATGATTCTTTCCAAGTTCTATATTTATAGCAGCTCAGATACGGAATTTTATTGTTTTTGTTTCGACTTTCAATAGACTAAATGAGACCCTGGAAATTAATAGTGTAGTTATCACTTATTTTCAGGACTGTATGAGAAACTCAAGATTATTTTTCAATAATTCTCCCTTTGTCCTCTGTCAAGGAATCCTAAACCATTGTTTTCTAATATAATTTTTGTTAGCTGAGATGTTCAGGTTTATCATAGTTTATGTATGTGTGTATATATTCTACAAATATATATGTTATATAGATATTATGTTCGGTTTGGAGCCTGGCATAACTCCCTTGTGTGGATTAGAGAGTAAGATTTCATGGACGATAAAATACTTAATGAAACATAATATTTATTTATGAAAGAGTGCAAAGGATGAAGTCTCAAATGACAGTGCTGTCGTCATGGTCTTCGAGGGTACGACCTTTGGGCTCCTGGGAGGCAGAGACCCAAGGTTGCAGGAGCAGAGAGCTTCCACGCTCAGAGAAGAACCTTCCCAGAGCTCGTACCTGATGTATCCCCAGGTGCTTACTTCCTCAACACAGTCGGTTCCTGGGTGACCAGGTACTGCGGGAGCTTAGGCCTGGCTGAATTTCACATCCCAGTCATGCATATTCATCAGAAATCGCAGTGTTAGACATGGTGGCCCCTGGTCAGAGTGTAGGTGGAGAGACTTGACAGCAGAACGGTTTCTTACACTTGAATCGTCCTGTGTTCTAGCTCCTTAAGGAACCTCAGCCACACCACAGTGGAAATGAAGGAACGGCATGAGAAATGATTCAACTTAGTCATTATGATCCCTTTTGTAAAAAAGAAAAAGAAATGCCATATTTTTAGAATAAAGTTGGCAATATTTAAAGGGTTTTGTTGTCTGCTTTGAAAAAAAATATGCATCTGTGTTCTTTCGGGGGACCCAGTGCCTTATTGAATTTGTATATACTGTAATTTTTAAGGACGAGGGAACAAATGGTCTTATTTGTTACAAATTGTATATGGCTTGAACATTCCCCAAATAAAATGGCTTGATTCTCCCCGTGGGGGGAAGAAAAAAATGTCTGCTATCTTCCAGCCCTGATTTCTTTTTTTGGTCTTTGAAAATAATGACATTGTAAGTGGCGGGAAGGCAGCCATGAAGGAGATAATTCAGGGAAGTTTGTACATTCGGTGGCAGGGAGACAAGAGAAATGGTTGGCTGGCTTCTATTTTCTCTGTCATTAGGAGACGCAGTCATCTGTTGCGAGGGACAGGAGACCTGGGAGGTCAGTGGCCTGACAGCACGGGGAAGGTTCTAAATTGCACCTGGAAATCACGGCAGCTGGTCCTGCCAGTGCCAAGGGCCAGCCAGGATTGATGACGCCGCGTCTTGGCGGGCTGCTCCCATCAGCCAGGTAGCCCGTGCGCGAGGCAGCGCTTTGTTCCCCGATGTGTGACAGTTGGGACCCATGACCTCTCAAGGACTCGGTGTCTTTCCCCCAGAAAATGAGAATCCTATGATTCTGGAGTGCGCAGTCAGGGAAAGAACCCATGTCCAGGCACGAGGCAGGCACTGAAGGTTTAGGGAAAGAATCCGTGGGTGGACACTGTTACCGCAGGGATTCTAAACCCAGAATGGCACTCCTGTGTACTTTTGTGAGCAGTTCAAATGTAGATTCAAAGACTGCAGGGCTTGGATTCCCAGGGTTGATGGGCATCGGCCGCGATGGATGACGACAGTCCACCACTGATGTGAAAGGGGTGGGTGACTGGTGATGGCTGATGTGGGCCGGAGAGGTAGCTAACGGGCCTACAGGAGCAGGTCACCAGACAACACACGAGGACCACATGACGGCAGATGCCTTGCGGTCAGCCAAGCTGGGTTCAATCCCGGCCCCCGTACTGTACCCTGAACACACCAGGAGCGAGCCCTGAGCATCTCTGGGTGCTGCCCCCCAAAACAACACAAAAGAACAAAGAACCCTGGTAGGATGGAGGTCGGGGACCAGCTGTGCCCGAGCCAAGGGCAGGGTTTCAAGGGTGGAGAAGCAAGACCAGGAGTGAGGCTGTGATGGGTGGGTGGAGATGGGTAAGACGCAGAGCTGGTGTTGAGGGGTAGGCAGCCTGGGGGACTGGGGGGGTCTCCGGAGGAGAGCAGGAGGGTGGGTTCCC